ACTTCTCTCTCCTCTCACCACCTATCCCCTATCTGAAAAGTCTTGCCATTCCTCCATTCCTCCTCCATCTTTCTTTTGTAATCTTTAATCCTTTTTTCCCTAGGTAACTTTCCAAAACTGTCAGTTGCTTTGCTCAGGATTTGCTCAATAGATTTCAAAATGTTTTAGCAACTATATTGCTTTCTACTTCCATTCATTTTATTTTAACTTATATTCAACTCCTCTCCTTGACTCTCCTTTCAAATTGCTGTTGCCATCAACTTAGACTTATTTTGTATTCACAAATACTATCATGATGATACAATGAAGAATCTAAACACATTTAAAACGCTTTCTCATGCTGCTTTAGCATGGCAATCATGACTACTCATGTTCAGGACTTCATTTAACTACTTACTCTTCTCTGTTCATCTTCCATTGTTATAAACTTTCTGATGTTCTTAACAGATCCTTTACTTAATTTTTTTAAGGGTTTCTCTCTCTCATCAATCATGTCCATGACTATTAATCAGCATTACATTTTCTCCAGGGAAAACCAGAACATTTCCTAATGAATAATCTCCTTGCAGAGGATCATTATAAATTCCCATTGCTATAAACCAAAAAGTCACAGACTTCTAAGTCTGCCCCCTGAATCCCAACCACATCGTCTGTGGCACTGCATTTCACAGAATCATAGAATAGTTGGGGTTGGAAAGGACTTTTAAAGATCATCTAGACCAACCCCCACCCTGCACAGACAGAGACATCTTTCACTACATCAAATTGCTCAAAGCACTTCCCTTTAAGCCTGTTTAACAGAGGAAATAACACATCTCTGTTCTTACGCACACAGAGATACACGCACACATCCCTTCCACTTCCTGCCACTGACATTCACATCGCTTCCTCTCTTTCAGAATGCCAATCTTAAACATCATCTTTGACTTATCTTTCCATCTACCCTCTTATTGGTTCTCTACATTACCATACCCTTTGCCATCTTTTACCTGTTTAATGTAATTTCCTGTAATACATCTTTTGATGTTGTCCAGTTTTGCTTCAAATGCACCATTAGCATTAGAGAGGAAACGAAAATTACTAGGCACTCTCTTACTGGTTCACTCAACATGAATAAACATTTCCATCTGCCACAGGGCAATCATTTCAATCTCTGACAAAACAAAAAACCCTCTGAAATCAATAAGAGCATTGAGCCAAAATGAAACAAGAGGTTTTCAATAAGAAATGGATACTATTGCTTGTACACTACAGAGAGAATACACATCACTATTCAAGTTTTAACTTGGAGCCATGCATGGAAGAAAAAAGTCACGGATAATTATGGCACACAGCCATACATACAATTTCCCAGTCTTTATATTTGGCAAAGTTTCCTCAAATATCCTAGATAAATATATCTATTTCAGAACCACACAAAGCAGTAACAAAGAGGGTCTTGAATTCTTGTTATCAAAGCCAAATTCCAGTGCAAACACTATGACACCTAGGCCCTCCCTGACTTTAGATACCAGTGAATCTTAAATACACCTTAATGAAGGGGGTATATTCTAGGAAACCAGGCAAGCATCTGTCAGAGCCCTTCTGATGGTCACAGAGGGAAGATTATCACTGGCACCACCACAGCAGACTGACATTTCAAAGCAATGTTTGAGCTGTCATGGAGGATCAGATGACATGTTTTTATTTAAGCACGAATGATTTTGAAACAGAAATGGGAATTTCAGCAAGTTGCAGGCTGAACAAATTGATTCTGTATGATCTATTTTTCACTTTTGCTCCAGAGAGAAAGTTTAAGAAATTCACACTACATGGAGAGTCAAAGAAATTGATGGTTTCATACTAGCACTACATCATTGCCAGAAGCTCAAGCTAAACCAATCACTTCTTAACTAGAAATAGGCCTGAGACATGATGTTCCGATATCAATCTGAACTTCACAAAGTTCATGGTGGTTATGTTAGGATTTGGCATCTGGCTTAGGATCCTCTCCACTTTTAACAATGAAGAAAAATTTTTTAAAGAAACAGTGGACTCTCCTCTATCAAGCTTAATAGAAATCAATGAAACAGCTTGATCTGATCTCATTTCAACATTGTAAGAAGTCTAAATAGGTGTCTTTTAGCACTGCAGTTATAAAAAACCCATCTAAGTCTCTCTGGGAGTCATTCTAGTATGGATGTGAATTCCAATACGAACAGGATTTGAGGACATCCCTGGACATATTTGCCTGGTAATTACTGGCTCAAGAGCAAACGCGAGGTGGGAAAGATTTCTAGAACCACAGAGCCCTCTAATGGATTCATGCTGTATTACTGGGTTTTTCTCCAGCGCTGCAGTAAAATAATTCGGTTTTCAACTTGAAAATAAAATACAAGAGGTACAAAGAGAAGAATTGCAGACTATGAAAGCTTAATGACAGAAGCTATTTCTTCTGATTCTCAAATAGCCAGAAACTGCATAAAGAAAGAGACATTGTTCAAATGGAGGATCTAAAAAGAAACCTCTTAGCACCATTCGATATTTTTGGTTTTAAGTGAATAAGCTTTGGGAAGAAGCTGGTTTTGCACCATTGTTTGTAATATGCATACACACAGAAGATGACAGGCTGGAAGCATATCTAACCTTCATTCTGTTTCAGGGCTTGATTTTGGTTTGCTTTTTGCTGCACTGCAGTCAGTGATCTCTGCAGAGCATCCATGTAGTAGAAGGGAATAAACATCTAGTAGAAAGGCTATATAAGGGTGTGCTTTCATGATCAGCTAAAGCAAATCTGAAATCAATGATGTTGAAAGGGAAGAGCTGATACAACTTACAATACAGCTGCACAAGCAATAGAACCAAAACACACATGCAGACACAAAACAATAATTTTAAAAAATCTGTAAGAAAGGAAATTGATGAGGGAGGGGGAGCAGTCTTCGATTATCTTAGATAGTCATAATCTGCATCCTGAAAACATAGAGCAATCAAGAACCGTTCAACACTGAATGACTCTGGAACAGTTATGCATCAACATGCAGAGTCATAGTGGGCAGAGCTGGGAGCACCCCGTATCAACAGAGAAAGATCAAAGGACTACTTGAAGCAAGAAAGATGCTCCCAAAGGTTATACACAGGTAGAGTAAGAAAGAAGGAAGAAAGCAAAAATTGGATGCCTGGTACTGAAACTCTCAAGAGGGACACAGCTGGTTTCAAGTGACCTATCACTCTGGAAGAGAAATTCCTCCACAAATCTGTATACCTAATTTAAGTACTACATTTGTCCCTTAATCAAGAAGCTCAGAACATCCATAAAGGAGCACCCAAAAGTATTCAGGGGCATAAGATTGATAAGTATTGATTCTGAAGGTAAAAGTGGCTCATTATGATCAACATCCAACAAGAGGGGACTCTCATGGGTGAGAATGCATTCTAGGGATTCTCACCAATTAAATACCTGGAAACCCCATGATGGAACAGCACCATTGAGCATTGCAGCACAGCATGGGTCACCCCGCAGGCAGACACGGTAAAGTAAGTTGGTCAACTTCATTCTTTCTACTGGAGTGATGTAAGAGAACCCCTGTGAAGCACAGGGTTTCAGGGTGGGGGGTGGCATTTGCATTTTGGTTTTGTTCCTCCTTAAAGACCTCTAGCTTTACTTAAATAAACAAACTAACTGGCAGGTCACCTATTCATTACAATAATCAAGACTGCAGATTAGTCAGTATAGCTAAAGAGTACTGCTGAACTATGAACACCAATTGCTCTCCATGGTGCTCATTCAGCAAAACATGTGCTGCAGGCTTCAATTCAATACCAATACACTTTTGGGAAAATATTACATCTAAATCATTAGTGGAGTTTTGTTAGAGCTACCGAACAGTATAGATCCATAAATGCATCAGGTTTTTGATTAGTTGGTTGTTGACCGACCTCAAAGAATTTACCTGACAAGTAAAACTTCCTTGGAGCACAGTAAGTAGGGAGAAAAAAAAAAAAAGTTTCTCTCAGTCTCAAATTTCCTGCCATTCCCTAGGAACGAATAGTGATCTAGTATTGAACATTATGAGGTCCCTCAAGCCCATCTATATAATTTCACGCTTAAGATGATAACAGGAGAGGAAGATCAACTCCAAAATGACAAGTCTTACTGAGAGAACATTTACATTTGAAACAGGAGTTTGCCTGCACACAAATCTGAGAGAAAATAAGAGCAAGGCAAGCATGTAACAACAACTCCCCCAAATGCCCTCACAGGTTCCAGCTACTTGTGGATCATCAATTTCCTTACACAGAAATAATACCTTCCATTTTATATTCTGCAATAGATTATTCTTCCACTAGTTCACACAGTCATTCATTGAACCTAGTTATCCTAATTTATCCTCTATGTACAGCATACTAAAGAGTTCCACAGCCGGATACGTTGTATCACAATATATTTATGCCCAAAACAAAAAGCCCTAGATTTTGGGAGCCAATACAATAAGCCTAGTTCATGTTTTTCTAATACTGGATTTGTTTAAAGTATTACAGTGCACAACAGAAACTGGCCAATCTAGGTTCTTTAAAACACAAAGAATATCAGTTTTGAACATTTAGCTGAAGCATCACTTAAATACCACAATCTACTTCTGTATAGCACACTTTCCAGAGCACTGTATTACAGGACAGTGAAACCAGTGCATAAAATAAGCCTTCTGATTTAGTAGAGTGCTTATGGCACACATTTTAAGAGTGAATTAATCCCAGCCCTGCCACTAACCTGTTGTGACACTCAGGGCTTTTCACTTCACCTCACTATATGTTCGTTTTTTCCATTGCACAATGGATATAATGATACTTCGCCCGCTTCTTGAAGCCTTCTGAGAATTGCAGCAATAAAGTACTACATAAAAAGAGATCTGCATTTATATTGAAATGCACCTATTCACAAAGAACCATAAATTTCCAACTCACTAGGTTAAATCATCTTTATAAGCATTCATTCACAAAAAAGCATACGAAAAATTTACCTGCTCATTTTTGCAGATCCACACAGTGTTCCCCTGAAGTAGAATAAAGATTTTGGCTTTGTATCCTTTCAGATCAAGATACCCGCTTTTCTCAGGGGCAACAGAAGTTCGAGACTGAGAGTTATTATCAGACCGTGATTTCAAGGCATTGAGCATCGTATTAACCCAGTCATTCCTTTCTTCTAAACAAGAAAAAAATATTAGACAAAGACATATGGTTAAGCAGTAGCTCCATTCTCCTCTACACCATGGTTTTCTTGTTCTTCCTATTATGCTATGCTGGTTGATGGCATAGCTGTACCACATCAGAGAGAACATACATAGAGGAGGCATAAATAAAAATAATATGGTAGTCTGTATCAGTCTAACATCAGGAGATGTTAGCAAAGACAGCCATTCAAGTAGCTCCCAAAAATCAACACACAAATTAAAAGTTATACAAAGTGAGGATAAAAATTCTTAAAATCATGCCTAGTAGTTCTAAGATGCTTGACTCCAGACAGCTTAAAGACTGAGGTGGCAGACAGGTGATGTGTTCACCTTCTAGAAGTCAGATCAGTTGGAAAGAACTACAGAAGTTACACAAGCAAAAACCAGGGAGCCTAAATATCATCTGTCACTAAAGAGGGAAGACATCGCCAATGCTATTCTATGTTTGGCCATGCTTTTAAGCAAAAACATTTGGCAATTTATGATCTATTCCATTAAGGTGTAGTGGTTAAGCTTGATATTGTCAAAGGTACTGAGTAATCAAGAGAATACATTTTAATATCTTTGCATGCATTATTAATTTAACATATGTTCAGATATTTCGCCAGACTAAGATCAATATACTTTAATGTTGAATACTCTGAATGAAATAATCTTGCCCCTTGAAAATGGAAGATCACGAACATTTTTAACTCTCTGCTCTGAAAGATTCAGGTCCTAAAATATATTGAGGGGTGAAGGGGGCAAAGAAAGTTCTATCCACAGTCTATGCAAAGTTGACATAATCAGTGCCAAACACTGCAAAGAGCACTGATAACACAGTATCATGCTTATTTTATAAATGTCATGTGTGCAACAAGAAGGAACAAATACATGAATTTAAGCATCACAAAATGGTTTGAAGAAGAGGAAGACAGCAGCCTAACAGGCTGGTGATCCAAGTGCTCCTCTTAGAAGTTCTGTTTCAATAAATGCTCTTTCAAAGTACTTTGAAAAGACCACTGGAATATCTCAGGGCATGCATGAAATTACTCTAAAAGGTTTTTTTTAAATGGCATTTCACTCCAATTTAACAAAAACTCGCTGCATCTGAGCAGATTATGCTCTAATTCATTGTTGTCACCTAACTACTTAATTTTTTGCCCCCAAATGCCCCTAACTTTCTGAAGTAGTGTACAGAAGTTTTCCCTCTAGATATTTAAATCAATCTAAAAATAGTGTATTTTTGATATACCAAAAAACCATAAATTCGAGCACTGAAAGCAAACAAAACAAGCACTATAATCCACTGATTGCAGACCGACATTGGTGCCAAGGAACACAGGTCAATGAAGAAAACGACAGCATGGCTTATTTTGATACTTCAGTAGAAATAAATGTAATAAATAAGATCCACAGGATGATATACATATAAAAAGTCTCCACTTCAGTTTCTTTGAAAAGAAGTCAAGTCCAAATAGTCCCAGAGCAATTCCCAACTACAACTCCACAGAAGGAACAGAATCAAGTAACAGTTTCCGCATATAATAGAAAGCAAGCAGTGTTATTTACATAATTTACTCTGAATACATCATCCAGCTCCGGATGCAGTAAGGACCAAATTACTTGTACAACACACATTGATAACCTTAAGTGAACAGCTTTACAGACAGGTCACTAGGTCCAAAGACGGTTAAAATGAAAGTGCAATTTGATGTGTAACAAGTGGTTGCTCTGAATATATTTTGTAAGTCAGTATAATTTGTTAACGTTTTTATAGTATTCAAAGGCAAATTACGGTCCTACAAAACGTACTGCACTAAGATGGTTATGTTCCAATTTATTAAAAGAGTAAAAAAATAAATTTGGAAGAGAAAGACAAAAATAATAAAAATAGACATACTTTTTAACTCAGCTGAGAGCATAAAAACGCCTGAAATTATCTGAGCCAAACCTGATAAAAAGGATTTGTTCACTGATGCTGCACTCCTGTTACAGCCTGCAGCAAATGTTTACAACCAAGCTATAACCCATAAAAACGGGGTTTGATAACGGAAATGCTGAAGAGACCCTTAGCTATAATGGGTCTGGCATGTACTACTGTAAATACATATTCCATATCTTCCTTTTTTTTTTTAAGGTATTCCATTTTATTTGATTGTTTCCATAAAGAAGTCAAACATGCACTGATATTGATTCCTCATATTACAGCTGTAGGTTGACAAAACATTAAATTAGGAAGTACACGATCTTCCCAACCACAATTTACATTTGTATTCTCTATCAACACATGGCTGAAAATACTGTACAAGGCAGTAAATAAAGACACACAGAAAAACATAGATTTCCTTTGATCACAGCATCACATTCAAGCCATCAACTTCATTGTTGCTCTTTGTTAATTTTATATCAAATGGTGACTTGGAGCAGATGGGTAAGAGCACAGAGGCTGTAAGAACTGCTAGTGAGATGTGAGGAATGTCCATAAAAATTCATCTTTGGGAAGGATGGGGGAGGAGGTAGAAGAGCTGGAAAATAGTATTATCATTTTGATATTTTTAAAAACCATTCCCCAACAATTTCAGTTGTTCTTATAAAGCTTACAGTTATCTCCAGTTCCACTTTATGACCCCAAAACAGATGGATTCCAGAAATTATTATAGTAATATAACAAGCTATATTTCACAAAGATAAACTGTGATTACATGGCTTTTCGTCAATTAGAATTACACATGTTCTACTTACCCTCTTTATCCACACGGAAGACAAAAGTCCTATGGGATGTGACAACTTCAAATTTATTCTCCCCGTGAACTCTTACTGTTGCTATAGCAGAGAGCAGTATTATTCCCTTTGAGAACACTTCCTACAATAAAAATGCAATAGAAATAGTTAATAACTTTCAAGGAACATTAAATGTCTCTCAGGTAATATTACTTGCCGTGATGTTTAGGAAGTTCACCTATGTAGGCTGTGCTCCTAAAAGTTCACCACACTATTAATAAAACTGCATCAATAAGTAAACCATTTCACTACCTACACATCAACAATGTCCGAGTCTATGCACACCTACTGCCTTCTGAAATAGAGTAAAATCACATGGCGAGATAGAATGCATATATTTGACATATCACTTCATAAGTTGTCTCATTACACCAATATTGCAAAATATTACACTCTCTTAAATTTATAATTTTATAGCAAAGTATATTACACTGAAGGTCCCACAGAACCATCATTAACAAATATATAATTATTACACTTGTGGAATAGAATCACACAAGGGAAAAATTGTGACTTCTCCAGGAAGAAAATTCTAAAGAATTTTTTTCTTCCTTCCCCATTCCTTCAGTGGCTAGTCAATAAGAAAAGTGAATTTACTCATTTTATTTCTAATTTTGAGCTCTGAGGGGGTCATCACACTCTGGAAAAATCCATTGTCCTGTCATTACTAACAAGAATCCTCTAGCTTGGATCAGGCATGTACTTTTCTGCTATATGAAGCAGGAGGAGAACGATCCCCCAGACACACCACTTGGTATCAGAGCAAATTCTCCCAAAACTAGCTAATTTGCCAACTAGGAAACAGGACAACTGAACAGAACACAAAAGCAAGATAGGAAAAAGAAATTGCTACAAGTACCTTCTCCAAATGGCTTGTCTTTTAGCCTAATTAACCCAAGTATTCCATATGAGGGGAGAAAAAGGAAAGCCCACACATGTAACACCTCGGAAATACTTCTGCACAATCCCTGCATCGCAGAGTTAATGCTGCTGCTCCTGTCCCCACTATGCTTTGATCTACTGGTTTTCCGACTAAGACATTCAGATTTATGATACAGTAATAGTCCAAGAGTCAGTTCCCCATAAAGAATTTGTACTGCAATGACTTTCCTCCCAAACTATAAATTATTATAATAGACTTTATACAAGGACTTAAGGAACCACTGTGAATGCTAAGCATGAAGAATACACAGGATCATTTTTTTTGTTTACTGAGTTCAATATGCCACGAATTTTCACCAAATTCACACTCTCACACTGTTTCCCTTCTAGGTCCTAATATACATCAGTGAATGCAGTTTAGCAAATAAGCAAATAGAAGTATCAAAATTCAGCTGAAGTGAACATGTTACTATCATTACACACAAGAACTACTCTGTCACTCAGAATGATCTTAGCATTGCACATCTATTTTCATTGTTAGGACAGAGACTTTAAGGTAGTTGTTAATAAGGTGGGATATTATGTTAACTACTGATCCTTCACAATGGCAAAGCAAACTTATTACACACGTTATTTCTAAAGGTGTTCATATATAATTATATTATGGTGTTTGCAGGCATCTACTGGCTGTATTTGGTACTGTAAGAGAATAATACAGCCTGGCGGAAGTCACAGCTATTTTATTTTATTTGCTCAAAAAAAAAAAAAAAAAAATCACCTCCCTTTTAAGCTGATCGTAGTTCTGGGTTTGCTATTTAAACAGTCATCCTTTTAAAGCTTTGCTCTCCAAGACATACATATTTTAAAATATAGTTTAAACCACAATAATTTACCAATCTTTTTTTCTGCAACAGCTTCTCTTTCACATGAAAGAAGTAATGCCTACCTTTAAAAAAGCTCTTATTGATCAAGATACAATTTTTCTAGTCTAGAGTATTTGAAAGAGAGAACAGGCAAATTATTTAAGAACACAGAAAACAAAAACAAATAAACACAGTCAAGAACCTCAAAGATATTTCTTCTGTTACTGAGAGATGTACCCTAGTTTTAGGGCTGCTAAAAAATTCTCTGACAGAACAATTTTCTAGTGGGAAAATAAAATGTTTTGTTTTTTGGTTTTGTGGTTTTTTTTGGTTTTTCTTCTTTTTCTTTTTTTTAATATATCAGCTTCTTTGATGACAAGTTTTACTTTCAAATACAGTTCACTGGAGTCCTCCTGGACAGTTGTGTTTTGGAGCTGGACTAAAAAGACCCTGGAAAACACTGTTTTGCACTGCTTTGGCTTTCCTTCCACAACAGACTAAATATGACCTATTTCAAGAATGACAATGATTCACCTGTCTTGTGGTGAATTCTGTTCTTTGTTATACTCACATGCAACATAACACAAGAAAATATTGAAGTTCTCTACCTGAAAAGGCAAGACTTTTTCGTAAATCACTAATAAATTTGTCAGGGACCCTAAGAAGTTTTTAAATAACCACTTCCAACATAATCAGCAGGCTTTGCCTTACTATAAAGTGCATGTTATAACATCAGAGTTCTCCTGCCAAAAGTAGGAATAAATTTGAAACAAAAACTGTGCATATTGGTTAGCTGAAAATAATTCTCAAATTCTACCTTCCCCTCTTCAGTTTGCTCTCACTTCAGTTAACCACATTCTGTTAAGACAAAACCACACGGGATGTTGCTCTGACCACATCAACTTGCTCAGGACCATGAATGTAGAAGAAATGAGCAGCATCACAGATTCAGAAAAGAACCATTTCTGATGCTGTTTGTAGAAAACAGTGTTTTTTTCATATATGCAGATATAAAGTAAAGAAGAGATATCTATCAATTAGAAGTTGATGCACAACCAGATTAAGGTTAGAGAAATATTTAGAAAATTAAGGTTTAAATCATTCAGAGAGGCGTTTAGATGGGCTAAGTACACATTTTCAGGAATACTACCCTCTGTGTCTTTCCTCCCCATCCTCCACTTGTTTCACTCTTCATTAGCCATGTAGCACACTTCCCCTTCTTGAGAACCTCACTTCTCTCAAGTTCCTAATTTGAATGACAAATAAAGCTATTTAATGTTGGTAGTGTTTCTGGGTAAAATAAACAGATTCATTCCACTGAGCCTGCCCTTCTCTGCTTGCAGTCATCAGAAAAATATCCGAGTATGGATTGGTTTCCTTTTGAGAACTACCTTTAATTGATATGTGAAACCAACAGTATAGCAATTCCTTTATAACATGCTTGTCTGTGTAGGAATGTCCTTGGACAAATACACATTAGAATAGATAGATCTTGACATTAAGACCTAAAGTTAAAACAACAACCTCCACATTTATATATATATATATATATATAACCAGCCATGTAGCTAGGAGGAGGGATCCACTGCCTTGCAATGAACTGTATAACTATCCCTGTCTTTTACCAGATACGGCTCCGGAGCTGCATGTAGGTCTTAATGGGTCTGCAAACAGTTGTTTACGATGTCAAGGTAACAACACACAAGCAACATCAGGAACACACTGGTATGCATCTAGCAGGCAATATGAATACTCTAGGTGTGGGAGTAGCGATCCAGCAGAGACCAAGGCACCAAAATCTCATGTTCCTCAGCAACAGAGCTGTTCACCCAACAACATTTCACTGTGCCCTGAGAACTATTGGTAGCCAACAATGTTTTCGTCCTATCTGCAAGCTAGTCCGAAGTTGCCAGAATTTGCTTTAGGCCTCGCAGTTCTCAGACATACAAAGCTCGTAGTACATGTGACTCATCGAATTAACAGATCAGACACCCAGATTAGGTCAAACTGCATACACATACAGACCAACCTGCGCCTCTTTCAATCCCAGGAGTGAGGTTTTGTACTCAGATACCAGGAAAAGTCAGACAAAGAGGCTTCAGACCAAGCTTTTCACAAGCTCCTGATAGTCTAACATATAACAGAGACCTTTTAAATAGAGGATGCAGAGTTGGTAGCTTTCTATGCATTCTATGGCACACTAAATATTCCCCTGAGTACAATGGAAGATTTCTGGAATCTCCAATGACAGACGAATGTATAACAAGTACTATTCCAGAGTAATTGACCTCCAAGTAACTTTTTCAGTGACCTTCAAAAAAAAGAAATCCCCAGTGCAGACACAAGATTTAAAATTTTGTATTAGCATTTCTTTCCCTCATTATGTTCCAGTGTTAAGCAAATCCAAATGCTGGATTTTTCAAGTCTTTCTTAATGACTAACACTGATTTTCTGCTTCTCTGAAGCCTACAATCCAAATGTTATTCTATTGTTCCCTTCATCTACAACATCATGTCTTCTACTGTGAGCGAAGCAACGTAAGCAAGTAAAAATGGATTGTTTCATGTTCCTAATTGGCAGATATAAAGATCAATGTAAATAATCTTCTGAGCTTGTTCTTAATTTCTCTGGCCCCTCAGGAAATAAGCAGTCTTTTCCTACTTCAGTTCTACCTCCTTCATAATCTGCTAAAATAGGTCTAAGAGTGTGTATATTATAAAGCATCTATAGGACTCTTATTGATTACCACCGCTCAGCATACTGATCAGGAACTTTTTACAAATCTATTTTTATATCACATATCAGAAGTGAACTACTTTAACCAAAGCAATTCATGAGTCTGCAAGTGTTGCAGTAAGACTCAATCCTTAGGCACAGAAAAAAAGAACAGCCACTGACATCACAGTACAATGCTGATTTTAAAGAGACCCATTCAAACATAACCTAGTCCAGCAATGAGTGATCACTGCCAGAAGACAAACAGGAAAGAGACATTTTTAATTAAGGAGTAAGCAAGTGTATGGAGTTTGGTGTTTCTAAAAGATCTCCCGTGACAAATTTAATTTCTCTCAAAATCTCCAGCGTGCTGGGTTCCCATGACAAGATATTTTGCAATCACCATCAAAATAACTTTGTATCTCTTAAATGTGTTTTTCATGATCCTTTTCTGTTTTGCAGAATGCAGCAGTGTCACTCTTTCAATAACGTAAGTTCTCACGAAATCTACCTGAAAAGGTCAGGAATATAAACCCTTCAAGAAAACAAGAGGATGAACAATACATGAAGATCTCAAGGATACCTTAAAATACTTAATAAAGTCTCATTCTAGCACAAATTTAAGATTAATATTAATTTGCAATTATTTCTGAATTTCCTCATGGTAACGTGGATTACACATATGCATTTTGTCCCAAACACGACCAGAAGACATCACTTACCTTTTCATTATTGTAATAAGAAATGCTGTCTCCATCCAACTTAACCCAGCGCTTCTGAAACATACGTTTGCTGTGAATCAAAAATTAATACACTTAAAATTGTAAACAAAGTTAACACTTGGTATTCTTAAAAACGCACAAAGCACAAACTATAGAAAAGTCAAATCATGTTTAGCTTCCTGTGTTTCAGTGTCAGCATCCTGAAAATTAAAATAAATCTCAGCCCTTTCGTATCTTTTCGAAAGGAGAATGCTGATTTCAAATATAATAAAAATGTCCGGAAACAAGAATGTAGTACTACTGGACTTCTTTTATAATCAATGTCTTCATGTTTTTAATCAATTCAGTCTCCTTTCTGTTTCCTCCCCATGTGGTCTATACCACATCTGTAAGTGACAGAGGAAAAAGAATTTTCAATAATGTAATTTTGCTTTTAAACTAACAAGGATGAGAACTGACTATTTTTGTTCGAGGTGAAGGAAAGGTATGCTTTGTGTTCAGAATATTAAGTGTCACAAGCTCTGTAAGACACTTTCCAAAAAGGAAAGCTGAGAACCTAAAATGACCATCTCATTGCCATGTTTATGAGAAGGACATCTCTGTTTACAGGCTATGGTACCTTCAGTCATCAGCATCTCCTGAACACCCTCTTCCCTGGCCAATGAATAAATAGTGGTCACACCAAATCATTCAACAAGTACAACATAAAATTTAATTTTCAATCTGTGTTATCAACTGGGTATCACTAATGAGAAGCTCATTTGATTATTTCAGTTTGTCATTAACTCATGCTCTGGAAGGATCTCCTAAAAAATTATTTTTACATGAACCTGAACTAGTCTGTTATGCTCATTAAAAATGCTGACAGCATATTATTTATCATCCATAAAGGTTTCAATTTTAAAATCTATTGAACAAGTTAATTAAGGAAGAACAAGACCCCACTCTAACATCTCTTTTCCCAAAATTGTTTCCTTTCCTGCTAAATGAGTGCTCTGCTTTAGGATTAGTAGACTGTGATTGTTTATCAAAACTTTAATCACATAGCAGTGCTGGCTTAATTAACTTACATTATATGACTACAATAAATCATAATTTTTCACAACCTGGAAAGGCCAACGTAAAATCTGTTTTCCATTAAAATTTCAATAAACTTCAAGATGATGCAGGGAAGAAAAAGTGAACCTAAGTCCACATGCAATGCAAGTAAACTGAATGGCTTTACAATTTATACTGAGCTAACTAAAAAGAGAAGCTGTACTTTAAATGCATGATTTGTAGCAATTAGGAAAACAGTATATATTAATTACCAAGAGAAGGCACAAAGTGCCAGGTGTAAATGGGAGCTCTATAAAAAGAAGAAGGGAGGCAAAGACTGAAACAAAATATGACAGTGCTTTTTCTTTGGTTGGTTTCTGTAAGACTTCAGATATTTGAGAAGTGGTATTTTAAGAAAGAAAACCGAAAAATGTAGCATTCATTAAACCATGTTTAAGAAAAACTCCTTGAAATTTACCCAGGGAATATCACTGGCTCAAGGCTAACGACCCTGCAACTGTTCGACTCAGTCTTACCCACCACTAATTTTGTGGTTAACTCATTATTTTTGCACATAATATATTCTCACACAGTACTTTATCTACAACCTTCACACTTTGTTTGCAACTAGCACAAGATGAGTCAACTGGAATCAAGAACTATGCTTTTTATCACTCTATTAGCTAACTGCCAAAAACATTGTTTAAAAAAAAAAAAAAAAAAAGTCCTGTTAAGTGAAATAAAACAAAAGTTAAAGCTAATTGCAGCTCTCTGAGAAGTCAATACACTAAACATTTGGGCAAAAAAAAATGTGCAAAAGCATATTACACTGGGAAAAAGTCTTTTTGACTCTGTATCATTATTTGATTCTTCAGCAAAAGTAAACAATTAAATCCATGAATGTGAATGAAACTTTTAAAACAATTAAAAAAAAAGTCTGAGTAGATTGAAATTCCATAATGGTAAAATAGATTTAATAGCCAGGTTTATTCCTTCTTTTTATTCAGCTTGAGCAATGTATCACCGCATCAACACCAATAAAGACAAAATCAAAGAAATTAAAAGTTCCTAAATCAGAACTCTTAAAAAGGAACAACAACAACAAAAAACAAAAACAAAAAACAAAAAAAAACCAGAAAATTGCTATACAATAGAGCTCCTTCCAGTGGGCTCCAACCAGATGGTATTCTCAACCAATTTAATTCAAGACCTTGGTCACTAAACTGGAAAAAAAAAAATATTAATTGCTGTACTAGTCAATCAGTAGTGATTATTACAGACACAAATAATGAAAAGGAAGGCCAAACAGTTTAATATGACCTTTCAGTGTAGCTGAACATACAGTCCTAAGAAAAAAGAATGTAGAACTATTGAGGCTTGAGTAGAAGTACAGGAAAACAGGTGTCTTGCAGCACTAACAAAGACAACAGCTTTGATTTCTATATGCTAAGTACTAGTGAAGATCAGAAATAGACTTAAAAAGTAAAATTGTGCCCCTTTCAATACAAAAAGGGATTAAGAAAAGTCATAAGAGGAAAAGGAAAACTGGAAACTACAATTTAAAACAAAGAATACTCCATTTATTAAGAGGAGGTTAGAAGAATTTCATCAGAGCGTGCAAGTATTTAGGAAGGGAAGATCTGGTAATAGAGTGCTCTTTAGTGTAAAGCAATCTACGAAGACCTGGAATGTAAAGTAGGTTAAAATAAAACAGATTTTAAAAACTTTTTAAAATAGCAGAAATTAAACAAGATTTTTTTTTTTTTTTTTTTACCTACAAAGGTGGCAAAGAGTCTAATCTCTTGCTGTTGTGCTCCTCTCTTCTCTTCATTATTTGAAATCTTAAAGCAAGACTTGGGCTCATACTCCTCCCATCAAACTTTAGGCACATCAATAAACTAAACTAGGAGACAATTTACCTTAGACGCATTTCTAAATTCAAAGCTCAACTTATACACACAATTCTGAAAGCAGCAGGGTCTCCAGTCAGAGTAATTATTAATTGATACATTCATGGCCAAATTGGTAAAGCAGTATTTCATAATCAGAGTTTGGTTTCACTTACTCTGTGGCTCAAAGAAAATTAGCAAAAATGTACAGATTGGAAATATTGCTACAAATTAATTCTATATTTTTCTGCTACAATTCATGAGTGGTAATCAATATGCTTAATAACAATATTTTTCCTGAGTATACATCCTAAATAAACTTTAGAATAGGTAACACCATTAATAACTAAGAATTCAGAAGAGCCCCATGCTCTTGCAACTAAAACACTTGCCTTTCCTTTTCCACCACAAACAGTAAGCAATGACCAAATACAAACTTAGCATCTCTCATGCAAACGTAGACCTTTACAATTATACAGCAATCACTCCAAATACCATACCCTTGAGGGGATAATTTGTCCAGCCATCCTGCTTTAAACTTCTTTACTGATGGTCCATAAAAACAAGCATATGGTGTTATCGATTCATTTCCAATTGAAGTTTGATCTCCACAAATTTGATGAAAATGTGTTTGTTCACTGACCAAGTGATCTGAATCTCCACTTTGTATCTTACTACAAGATGCTGAGTATGTTTTGGCTTTATTTTTTTTTAAAGGCAAAGAAAATTCTTCCACAATAGAATATAAAGATTCGCTTTCAGATTCTTCTGGTGCTAATGATTTGTTTTCCTGAGACAGTGATTCATTTTTTGCAAATTCCTTTGTCTTCTCTTCCTGATCATTAAAGGAACTAGAAGGAAAAAGTGCATTTTACTCTTAATGCATTGTTACAATGCAAAAATACATAAAATTATTAAGTAGAACAAATATTTGTAAGATATAAATACATTTATAACTTGTTTAACCATTGCAATAACTACTGACATGCTAAGCAATGTATCTTATAACTATGACCATACTGAATCCTACTTTCTCCATTCAACAGGACTAGTAGCAAGGTAGCACTTGCTGGTTACTTTAGAAGGCTGAATATAACTTAAAATGAATTCTCCTTCCACAGAAAACTAGCTTCAATCATTTTAATGCTTTAGAGGACTTGCAGTATCATCTCTCTCTTCCCTCTGCTGCCCCAACAGAAGTCAGGTACAGACTGGAGAGTTAAGGAGTGCATTATCTCCCATTTCATCAAAGCACTGGCCACTGCCCCATGACAGGAGTAGAGAACGGTTTTTAGTTTTATGTTTATTTTTTTTTTTCCTGATGAGGAGGTAGAGTACGAGAATATTCAGACACAGTTAGCTAGGAAACATACAAAAATAAAACTTGGGTCTTTCTTGTTCTGACTGGGGAAAAGAGGGACACCTTCCAAATCCAAAAAAATTTCTGAACCCTGGGTTAGACAGTCTCAGGACAGCCACAGAGACAAAGTTTGCCTTCTGTAGCATGGGGATGGTTGTGCCTTCAAAGGTTCAGCTCTACTTGTGATACCAGCAGATAACTCTTTCTTCTTTACATTTCGAATTTCTCTATAACTCTTATTTAATACCATAGATTCCTGTAAGAAGAATACTCTTCATTCATTCCTAGATCCAATTTATTTTCACAAGCCAGGAATTCATTTCCATGAAGTTCCTAGAAAAGAAGCACATTGGAACCAACATTTGTAGTGAAGTATTTAGTGATGTTTAAATTCCTGTAGACATAATTCACAAACAACAGGCTAACTAGGAAAACTCATCTTTGCTATATTTTCAAATATGCATTTGAAATATCATGTTTTATAAGTATTAAGAAATGTTATTTACAATATTTCCATTTTAAACAAAACTCAGATAAAACATTTGAGCATAGTGCAAATCACCTGATACAAATTAGGTAAAGGAATTCAGTGTGTAGAAGTATCAGTGCTCTTATTTTTCCTGAAGCACAAATGAATATTATTTTTATCCTGAAATTTTCTAAGCTCAAGAGCCATGTGTTGCAAGCCTGTTAAGTATACCATTTATGATTTGCCATTCCTAGCTTATGTTTCATATCAATACTTCTCTGAATTAAATGTACAGCCTTCATGGTACACTAAAGATAAAAACAATGGTAAATTCAAATTCCTACAGTAAGAATGAACTCAGCCGTATCAAGTATATCCCACATTTTCTTGACAAGCTTTTCTTCCTAAAAGGCACATTTATTAATGTTTGTTTAGAAATCTTTATCACAAACTGCTTGCAGTGTACAAAATGTCAAGGTTAACACTGTTCAAGAACATTGCATTTCACACTTCCTAAACTTCATCTGACAATCACATCGCATTACTAAGCTTCTCAATACTGATCTGCCTCCTTTCAAAAAAAAAAAACAAACCAAAAAACCAAACAAACCTAAAATGAACATCTTCATGCTTTCTGAAGGAAGCTTTTTAACTTACTCATTTAAGCTTTGATGTGTATGTCACGAAGTTGAAGGTTGTTAGAAAAAAAGTGGATAAGCTTTCACAATGGTTGCCATTTGTTTTCTGAGCAGCAGTACCCCATCTTGTACTTGAGGGCTGTACCTTGGCAACATGAAAAGGCAAGCTTAAAAAAGAACATAGCCCAAAGCTGAGTATGTGTACACCGCAGCAAAAACCACGGAAATCACAGGCTGCTGCTAGGATAAACCTAGGTGAATAGTCTGCCTTCCTCTTCCAGACACATCCATTATAAAAAGACAAAACTAAAGCAAAACAAAACCCCACCAACAACCACCACCACACACACCACACTATTAATTATGTGGTAGCACCAAGGATTAGACAAAAAAAAAAAAAAAAATTAAAAATTTAGAAATAAAATAGCCATACACCTTCCAAACAAACTAAACAGAAAACTCAAAAGGAACCTGGCCACTGCTTATCAAATGCTTGGAGTGACTGGAATCTCACAAAAAGAGGGGAAATGGCAGGGTCCCACTTCTCTGCAATATCCAGGAGGTGAATATCATCACCCAGGAAGCACCTTCAGAGTGAAAACAGTCAGTATCTTTTATCTTCATTTGCTTATCAGGATGCAACCACAAACCACACCCACTGATGCTATGTGGTAGTACCGCTTCCTCCCTCTCATGAACCATTACTGTAACAGTTTTATGTCCTGCTTGTGCCCAATCCACAATCTTCAGTACTTGGGCAACTGAATTCAGGGAGCCTGGGAACTTTCAACCAACAATCAAAAAATGCATTTCTATTGATAGCAGATTTTAAAATGTAGAAGTCCACAAATGGAGACATGTGGTGGGGACAGGGAGTACTATTTGCTCACAAAGACACATATTTCACCCAAATTAAATCCCAAGCATTTCCAATGTGTTGTTTACGGAACTATTCTGCAAGATGCTCAGACTCAAGATGAGACAAAACTCCCATTTCCCACCTCCTGCTGATCTCCGAGGTATTATACAAATGTAGTTAACAACAGCATTTTCTTCTGCAGAGAAGTAGCAGCAGCATTTTCTCCTTCATAAGAGAAGTATTTCCTAAGAGATAGGTATATATATATTACACTGAAACTGTCTCTAAATATGTACTGTTTTTATGCACAGGAAGCACCTACCCTTAAGGAAAAAACCTGACTTCTGGATTCCAGACAGATGGAACTGCCTACTTGCAGCCCTGTATAACAATCCTCTGCTTTCAATCAGAAACTAATTCAGATGCAGTTTTGGGTTTTGCTTTGTCTAACAGGTAGTCTTGGTCACAACAGCAAGGCAGGAAAGCTGAATGCTAAAATATGGACTGCATGAAGAGTATCAGGACTGAGGTTACATTAGACAAAGACTCCCTGCATTCAAGACATGCATCTTCCTTAAGAGATGCTGCCTGAGTCTTCTGTTAAAGCTAATGCCACACAGTTCTCCTCAGGTTGATTCTTGAATTGTGGTTTGGCAATACAATTTTATAACAGGTCCATAAAGATACATTCCTCCTTTTAAAATATTAAGGGTTCTTATTTTAAAGTGGTAAGATTTGCAGTCTGGCCAGCATTCCACAGTATCATAATGTTTTGGAGCTCACTGAACTCGAGTTGGAGTTTACTGAACTCGATATGCATGTTTAATTTAGTCTGACAGTCTACAGCAAGAAATAAAGCCAATACTTCACTCTAGAGGCCTGAATTCATTAGAATTCAGTTTTTCTGTGAAGGAATTCTAATATATTTGACCCTTCAGTTGGACACAACAATAAGCCAGCTCTACAACATTTAGATTTTTGTGTTATTTTTAAATTAATATTTACAAAAATGTTCCCTCCAGGTTGCCCTTTAGAGGTTTCTGCTTCTATTCCTGACCTAAGTCAAAGGCATACTTTCTTTATAATCTTAATTCCCTGTTGTCTCATGCTCACTTAATTCCAGTCTGTAGTTACTCATTACCTATTTCTAGACACACTCCCTTTATAAAAGCCTCTAGAAACCTCTTCTTTACACCAGTGAAACAGGAAGAAGAGCAATGGTCAACTTACAAGCACTTAGAACAAACTTCAGTCAGTCAGTGTAACAACTTGGGATGCTTTCTTGTATGTAGATAAGCTATATTTTCATGTTAAGTTATCTTTTAAAATGAAGAAGCAGTTACAAGCCCTAAAATCTCAGATACTTTACTACTTTACAGTGTTATCTAAACTTTCTTATTTGATTATAGGATACTTGACACTTACTGAAAAAAATCTGAAAGTGAAACGTAACTTAGGACCTTTGTTTTATGGTTCGTCTTTATGACCTCTGTCTGCAATTAAGTTCTAATGGAACTAAAATTAACTATGAAGTTTCCAACAGGCATGAGATAAATACAACTCAAAAAACTGTTCACTTACATTAAAGTAACAATTAAAATCCAAATCTTCAGATCAGGGAAAGCATGTAACAATACACTACATTAATAGTGACTCTACAACCAGCAGAAATAGCAATTTTATTTCAAGCAGATAATCCAGTTTAACAGCATGGTATTTTTGTATTTGGTGCCTTTGTAAGATAAGAAAGATTGCTGACAGCCTTCCTGGGTATGCTTTCTTATAACCACTTCAATGACACATACAGAGTAATATTAAGAAGTAACAAGAAGGCTAGGGAACTTTTTGTAGAAAATCTGCTTATGCCATTGAACTAATTACAAAGAAGTTTGAATTTTTGAAGACATTGGCACAAACGACAACTGGAACAGACAAGATACTGTACACAAGTAAAGAAAACAAAAGCTCAAAAGTCACTTTTGTGTGCAGATAAGAACTAGAAAGAGAAACAAGACATGAATTTATGTGTACCTCCTTAACAAGTCAACAAAAAAGCACAATATATTTCCAAAGGAAAAAAAAAAAAGTACATATCAAAAATAGAGATAATTTTTGTGCTTCTAAAACCACTCCCATTTATTTTCACTGACCAATTCTCAAAAAACTAAAATTAGGAAAAAAAAAAACCTTGGCATCCATTTGAGTAGCTTTCATTTTAGTCAACAGTTTACAGTTGTTTAGGAAGTGAAACATTAGAGTGAAGACCAGGACCAAAACAAAGAATGATGTATTGTTTTCTCTAATTCAGTGCCTTGAGATTGCCTGGGACAAGTATAAGCAACCACAGAATCAACAATTTCTGGTCTGCATCCTGCTGAGTCAGAAGCAGGAGCTGGGTTTCACAGCATTTGGCAGATGCTTCACTATGCTAATTTACTTCCCAGTTCTCCACGATTCCCTGGTCTATCCACATGCCATCTATGGCATTCACACCATCAATTACTGATCCTAACAAACACGTTCACTTCAGAGAATCCTACAATAAAAATTACTTTCTAGGTATACAGCAAGTTTAGGGGATGCATGAAAAATATCAGAAGTCCTGAGAACTTTCATATACAGGCATTAAAAAAGAATATGGCCATTATGTCACCTAAGCGAACATGTAAACTGCTTTCAATGGATACACACAAGCCTGTGTGGAGATGGCCGGTCCTGATCTGTAACTATCAGAAGAGAAAAACCACTTTTACCTTTACTAGTCAATTCTTATGGTTATCCACCACTTAACCTCGCCTAGGCACAAAGCATTACAATATACCACTGTACCTAGGGAGGTAAAAGGAAGTCATCAAGGTAGTCTGCAATTGCCTGTAACTGACTGTTTTGCATTTGATATGGCAACTCTGGGCATTAAAAATAAGTCAGTTATCTATTGTACGTTGTTTAAAAAAATTCAAATTAAAAAAACCCCAACTGACACACACCACAGCTTCCTATTACTACTGAACAGTACAAAGTGTATCTCAAGATTAAGACAAGTCACTAGTCCACAAATATTTACATTATAAATGGTTTGCATGTACCTAAAAAAACAGAAAAGGTACTCGGATCTGAAAAAGCAGAGGAAAAAAGAATTAAGGGTAATATAAAACACATAATATGAAGATTAAAGTAAAATTAGACCAGACTTCTCAACTTACTTTAGCATCGTTAGGGCTTTCACAAATAAAGGTTTCCCCATATGGAGAGATGATGGGTGGCTTTTCTTCTGTGAAAGTTTCTTAAAGAAAAAAAAATAAAAATAAAAAAACAAAACCACATAACAGAGTCATACAGTGCAAGGCTCTATTGAAATACTAGTAAAAATCAACAAGGTGCACAGATTTTTCTGCTTCTGATTTTTCTGTCCTTCTCAGAAAAAAAATTGAAGAACAAGAAACAATTTCCCGTCTCCAGCTAAACTCCAGACATGTTTTTTCCCCCTTCGGGCACTACTACTATTATCACATAATTTGGACATAACTTGCATACTGGCATTTTCTTCTTTGCTACCCTTTGTCAAGTTAAAAAAAAATCCTTCTGTTGCGTATCTTAGGAGCAATATCTTTAAAGTGTCCTTTATTCTGACTTAAAGAAAACAAACCCACACGAAAACTCATTTGTGCACAATCTTCATTTTGTCGCCAAGTACTTGCTTGAAATTAATATGCATAACTTCAAACAAGACAGACCTATAGAGTATGAAAAAGCTTTTGTTTACAACTGACTGCACAAGACTTCTAAACACTTTCAGTAAACTATTTAACACAATTAATTTCCTGTTATTTCCTAGAGCTACTAGCTAACAAATTAAGCAGCAGTAGTCAAAGAATATGCTCCTTATATCCTCAAGAAAAAGCTACCTCTGCTTAAAAAAATCTGGACCTAACCTTAGAAACTCAAAATACTGTAGTCTAAAAAAGTATATTAAAATGAGGTTTAAAGACTGCATTTTCTAATTTTAATTTTATTAGTTCATAAAAAAAAAATGAAGTAAAAATGCAGAAGTGGTTAAATGCTCTGCTATTACATACATCACTTTTTCCAGACCTTCCAGATGCCCAATATTTCTTAAAATATGTAAGTCAGTACTCATTTTAGACAACTTCTGGTCTGAGTTTTCTTTTCTCCCTCAATATTAAAGACGTAAATATCAGTGTGCTTAACTCACTGTTTTGTGACATTTGCCTCCCAGTGCAAGAAATATTTACAAGATCCACATCTCTTCTTTTCTGAAGGGAACTTGAACAAAACAAAGCACAAAATGAAAACATTAAGTGACATTTCCCAGAAATGGAGTAAAAACATCTTCTGCAGTTAAACTATTAAAATTATATACAAATATTGAAATAGTCAGTTTCAAGTCTTGGGAAAATTTCTGATTTAAGTCACCCAATAATGTGTTTTCTTCCCTTTATGACACTGAATACTCCTCTGATCCTAGCACACACCTTGTGTTTGCTGTAGTTTTTTTTTTTTTGTTTTGAATTGACCTTATGATACATTTAGATTTCCAGGAAGCATGAACATTCCCCACTGTTCCCTTACCCTTTGCCCTCCCTTCTCCTTCACACCAATTACCAATGACTATATTTAAAGAAAGATGTACTATGAAAGTCAAATTTAACAATAAGCTCAAAGGGAGCATGGGCATGGAAATCCAGACAAAACATGCTCTCAATCACTTAAAAAAAAAAAATGCTGTAAAGTTTTAATTTCCTACAGTGAATTTTTTTTCCCAGTAAGTTTTCAATCTGAGACATAAACGACATTGCTTTGCAACTGTCTGTGACTACTACTGCATATTTTGTAGATAAGAATGTATCCCCATGCACAACAGAAAAATCATTTTATTATTTGTGTTGTGCTGGCCCTTAAGTATACCAGCAGTCTAATGATAGTAGCACTCATCATGCTGCTAAGGATCACACTTTTTTTCAATTATGTATTATTAAAAATAATTCTGTATTATTATTATTATTATTACTATTTATTATTTCAGGCTGCGACAGCAGCTTTAGAATAACAACACGGGAACAAATATGCCTGAATTAGTACATTTCTAACCCATCTTCCCTACTCTAGCAGTCTGTATTAGAGCTGTTTTTCAGCCAAGCTCTGATTTCCCCTGTTAACATGAAGAATTAGTAATTTTTCCCCTTAATTTCATTTTCTCTGCTTGAAATAACAGTGATACAGATTGTCATGCATCCTTATAGAATATTCATTGATTGATCCTTGAAGTTTTTCTAACAGTTCACATGTCCTCCATCCTCCAAAGCCAAGGAAAAGTATGTTTTATTTAACATATCAGTATTCCTAATTTTTGTTTCCCCACTAGACATATTGAGAAATTTTATTCTTTTAAGATTAGCCCTATTCAAAACTTTAGAAATACTGTCCCATGAAGTCCAAGTTGAATTGCTCCATATTGCAGGCTGATGTTTCTCTATGACAAAAGGCATAAATTTATGAACTACTATTTCATAGTATTTTTAATCCCTGCCTAAATCTACCCCAAACAAAGTATTAGATTAAATTAAAGACAGAAGCCACACCTTATAAAGTTACTTAACATCTCAAAAGCTATCCAGGTTATATCAACTAAGTTCCTCAATGGTATTTTGTAAAATCCTTGTTTTAGAAAACATAGGGTGAGCTTGGTCAGTTAAGGTGGACCATGGCCTAGTTCCCATACATAATTGCTTACTCTCCTGAGTTGTAATTACAAAAAATGCACAGCAAATACTTTAAAAGTCTGTGTTGCTTCATACATTTTGCTAAAATTGATGTTACATCCTTTGAAGCTACATTAGCAAACTAACTTAATACATTTGTATAACCTAATTTTAAAGAACCTGGCATGCTTACAGGAAAAAAAACAAAAACAAAACAAAAAAAACCCACAACCCACCACACCACAAAAAACCCTAACTTTTTCAACATTGACCAGATTTTTTGATGTTAGGTTGGGTTTTCTTAAGGGTATTAATAGCACTAAAATAAATTAGAGATACAGATGAGGAGCTTTGAGTCAAAGAGCTTTTAAAAGCATGGTATTCTTCCTTATGTAAAACAGTGAGTCATTGGCTTAGTTTCTGAAGGGATGGATTTAAAATTGGGTAATGGCAACAGCAATGAGTGAAGATAAATCCACCAGGAAATGAAAAACAACAAATCAGCTTACAAAGACCTGCATTTTTAAAATCATATTGTTTTTCACAGCCTGTGTATTCTTTTTTGGTTATATACCTACATGTGTGTATACATGGCAAGAAAATCAGTGAATAAGCAAACTGCACTCTTTTTTCCCAGCAAAAAAAATAAAACATTTTTGACATTTTTGGAAAACAAAGTTCTAACTTATATCAAGTAAAAACTATTTCAAGATATATAATAAATGGAACAAGTTTACTTTGAATATCCGCTTGAAAGATCATGTATAAAAAACAACATACAGTGCAAGATATAAAACGGTAATAATTTGTCAGTGCTCAATAGAATAGAACAGTTAGTTATTGCACAAATCAAATACCTGGATTAAAAGACAGAAAAATACTGAAGACTTCTTTGGGGGCAAATACAATTGAAAAAAATCTTATATCTACACAAATCTATGACCTTCCTTAACCACCTCCCAAATTCTATCCTTCTTCAGATTAATGATTTTCTTTATTTTGCTCTTAATAGGAAGGTTAGTGCAAGCAGTGTGGCAATCATAAAGCGTGCCAATTTTACAAAGACATAATAATTTCAATTAAATTATCATTTTGTTACAACAATAGAGATTAAGACCCACTATTTTCAATATATTAAGAGGTGATGGATGCAGCTCAGGCTGCTTACTCTGCCCCACCACCCTTTCCTTATGCATAAACAGGATGAAAGGGTGTGATGAGGCTGCAACCGGTATTGCTAAAGGCTGAGAGACTGGAAAGGTGTGAGCTTCACACTGGGCTGAGCTGAGCTGTTTTATTCAACATACTCCTGTGACCCTGCAAATAAAGTGAGCTCCAGAGTTCAGTGCAAGCAGTCAGTGCTTCGAAATCTTTACTGGCATTCATCTGCTGAGTGTTTTAAATTAATGAAGCTTTTGGTTTCAAACTAATTCAAAACACGTTTTCTTTTTTATCTGTCTCAAGACCTAACCCTCCCATAATGCAAACATGTCAAAAGCTTTCTAGCATGCTGTGTTACAACTTCAGACTGCTTGCAGAGGTAAATTAATGGTGATGCTTGGCCACAGGAAGAGAGAGAGCAGCCTCTCTCCCCTAAAACCTTTCCTTTGTGTGACAGAACAGAGACACAGCAGCACCAGCTTCAGCACCTCATTAGCAATCTTGATTACTTATATGTTAAGAAATGGAGTCTAAAGAATATCAGCACCAAGCAAGAAATTTCAACCGTAGGATCTGCCAGTCGCAGAAACAGTGCCTGCTCAGGCCAAGCACCAGTATCTATTTTATTTATTTATATTTTTCCCCAAATGCAGCATATTTTCCAGATTTACTGTTGGTCTACTGCTTCTTATTTCTCCTAAAAAAGAACCAGAGAAATCTCACTACTGAACAATACAAGTAATAAAGTTGGGAGATATGAAAAAATCTAAAAGTATACAGAGTTCATCAGCCTGAAATTTTATCTGTGTAGCATTCTGCATAACAAACAGATCTGCCATGTTATAAATCTAATTAAGCTTTTTCTTTGAACAGATTGCTGCTCTAAATGATGCAACAGTAGCTATTTCACCTAAGAGTGACGGCTAAATGACATGATCCAAAGCCTCTAAAACTATCTCTGTACTTCCTGTTTAATCTTGTGCTAAGGGCACGTCAGTGGTTAGCTCCATCCATTACATTACTTTCACTATGCTGTCTTACAAAACCTGTAAATGGAAGAAGTCACTTAGACCAAAAAGTATCAAGAAAGACCATGAATTTAGCCCTTAGCTTTGATCCATAATGTGGCTGGGGAACCATATCAAAAATTTAAGACTGCTCACTCCAATACAGAATGCAGGGTCTCAGAAAAGGTGATGACTCTGTCGAATAAAGATGTTTTGGATGCAGATTATTTCAATTTTGGAAGATGATTTGCAATCCCCTTAACAATCCCAGTGCTTTTAGACACCTTTGGAGAGATCTTTACTAATTCTGCATTCAGAGAGCTCATAAAGTTACAAAAAAAAAAAAAGTCTAGCTGACAAGAATCTAGCACAATTACACATCACTTCACTACTGATCAACCAAAAACACTCCTAAAATCTGCACAATAACCTCACTATCAAGAACACTGTGTAATAGTCACTTTTATTTTCATTTTTTTGTATATTCCGCACTTATTCTGCACCCCTCAGTACTACAGTGATGCTACATATACTTTAAAGAAGAAAAGAAACAAAAATATTTCTAACTTCTAAAATGCTATGGTGTCTTACCAGCTGACAGCGTGTTTTGTTACAGGCAAGAACCAGAAGCAGAAATGAGGTACAGGAAGCAGATATAATTGCAAGAGAGGCAAGTACATTATTAGCAATAAAAAGCAACATGGTCACATCACTACTAAGGGGCACGAGGGGACCCACCGTATGAACATGTTGTGCCAGAAGGCACATAGGAGATCATGAGAAAGCCATTCCCTTGCATAAAAATTTAATGAATAATATCCATGCATGACTAGAAGGAAATGTTCAGTTTCCCAGAATATTTCAGAAGGATTTCTCTGCCTCTATGGAATAGTCTTCACACGGGGTAATAAGGATGAAACCAGCACCTATCAATAAAAGTCAGTTGGGGATGTTTGTCTATGTAATTATGTAAGACAGACACAATCTCTTCTGAGGTTAAAGATGCTGCAAGGTGCCATTTTAAAATTCTGCATCAATCCTTTAAAAAAAATACATATATATCAAGAATGTTCCTGTGACATTTAAGTTCTGTTTTGAAGTTCTGCTTTAGCCTTGATCTTCCTCAGATAGACTGCTACTTGTCCTTCCTATCCATAATATTATAACTGGAGCATAAAGATGAAGACAATAAGATGGAGCTCAAAAATCAAAATGGGGGGTAATGAAGTTAGTGACCCAGTCACACATCAATCAGTAACAGACTGGGATTTGGAGGATTTACTTCAATCATGGGAAGACTACAAATACAACACATTCCCTCTATTGGATGACTGTTTCTCAAAAGTCATTAAGAGTACTCTTTTAGAAGCTAGCTATTATATTTTAGGATGAGATTCTCATTTTGGGTCAGCAGGATGAGCTTTATTATATGAAGCAGGGATAATCACTCTACAAAAGTCAATGTAAAGCTACTCCCCACTGAAAAATGTTTATACTTAATTTTCAATAAGTACAATTTTTTGGTGATTTTGAAGACACTGAGGAAATATATTTTTAAAACACACAAAAATTTCTTAATTGTTGCAAAGAAGCTTTGTCTATCCATCTGTCAACCAAATAATTGTATTACTGCATTTAATATTGACTTCTTTCAATAATCTGAAAGAAACTTACAAATGCTGGGAAAACTCTGCACTTAGGGCATGTATAAACTTGCTAATGATGTTTCTAACTGCTGAGATATGCAGATGAAAAAGACAAGATAAATACAAAACATTCTCAGACATATCCCTTCCAGGCATAGCTAGTGGTTAAAAAAAAAAAAAAAAAGTGCAAGCTAATGATTTGGATATGGCTACACCAACAAAACTTTGCATATGTCTTTACACGATTTTTTCTTCTCTGTTTGAGACACTTAACCAGCATGACAAGTAAAACCTTATAGTTAATGAACAAAAAATATCACAAATTAATCTGTGGGAAGATATTCTTGGTTCACACAGCCTGTAATATTGTGATCAACTGCACAGTCAATGCCTATTATTTTTAACACTCAAGCAATATTACTTTTATTAAGATAGGCCTGGAGTTAAGTTCTAACATCAGACCTTTTTCTCTACATTTCAGCATATTTCTGCAAGACAAGCTACAACTAATGCTTACTGAAGACAATAAGTGCTACTCACTAATTTGTGGATTCAAGTTATGAACTCAACCGCCTTCAAGGCAGAAGAAAAATCCACACCCACATCCTATGAATATTTTGAAAGAAATTCAAATTCTCCTATGCAATTTATCATAACAAACATTCTTGTACTCTATCCAGTACTATTCTCACCAGTGCTGCACAGAACTGTCCTTACAAAGATTCCTAAACTCTGAAAACTTCCCACATCTACCCCTTACCCCCTCCCCCACACCTTTTTCTACTTTTTTTTTTCCTGTTGGAATGCCTCAAAAATATTTTTATACTACAAGCATTGTTAAAAGCAAAGGTTTTGTTACTATGAGAACACCAGCAAAAGGCAACAGCTAATATGACAAACCGGTTGCATTCATTCTCTGAGTTAACAGTTAAATGACAGCCAGTTTAGGAATTAATCTAAGAGCCATGTTGAGGAAAATCCTTGCTTCAGACCCACAGTATGATGTAACTTCCTCCTCCACAAAATATCCTACTCTAATTTAAAATTTAAAAAAAAATACGTATTTATATTTACATATAAATTTTATATGCTTCAAGGCTAAGACTTAAGATTCTCATGTAACTGTCTTACGCCCATGCATGCAATCATATCTGGTACATCTTGCTTTGTTTACAGGGTGGCTACACCACCCAATGCACAAAACAGACAAGAAGGTTTTTCTAAATTTTGCCCCACTTTTTTAGATAAAACTACATTAATACGTGTAATTGTGTAAAACTTCCTACATCTTTCTTATAAGTTACATATATAAAAACAATAAACTTGTATTTTCCAAGAACAGTACCTCTTGAAAGTTACTAAGATACAACTTGAATACTTGTGTTTCACAATAACTGTTGTCTCATCATAAAAATAGTTTTTTATACTTAAGGGTGAATTTTTAGACCTCTTGAAATCACCATTTTGTCACCATTTTCCTGTGATGCATCAGAATTTCATTGGATAAATTGGACTTAAGGTCTAATAATTATTATTACCACCAATATTTTGGTTTGGAATAGATTCAATGCTTTTTTCTGTTATTTTTCAGTCATGGTTTTGTAATATTTGCATATTTCCATGCTTCCCCATTTTAACAGCATACAGATTAAGTTTTAAAAATGCTTGATATAGTTGTTTTTAACAAGAGTTATATCTAAAACAACAAAAATTTCTTTATTTGCAATTAAGTAGACACAGAGATGATTGGAGAGGTTATTTCCAAAATTTCCCTTTATACTCTTGTTTGAGTATTTAAATTGCAATGAAGCTTAATCCTCCTTCAGTGTCATCTGGCAACATTCATTCCAGATTCAATGCATTTACAGCATATATTAAAAAAAAAAAAAATTACATACAAAACCCATGAGAAACCCCAAACCATAATTTTTACAATGATAGAGATTCTTCATTAGAAAGAAACAGCAGTTACCTTGATGAAGCTTGAATTTTACTTGATTTGGGAATTTCTGGTACAGGTCGATGTCTTAACATAAAAGACCGGCTTGCTCTTGGAAATACTTTAGTGCAGTTTTGTGTACAAGAATCATATAAGTCATTGTCTACCATTTCTCCTTTAAACTTAAAGAATGAAGAGTTTGGCTCACTATCAGACAAATCATCCTCATCTGCAAACATCAGATATTTGTTTTCACCGTATTTTGTCTCATATGAATGAGCAAATGAGGAAGGATGATCATGAAATGCCAAAGAGCCAGCCGAGTGCTCATCAGTTCGGTATGCAGCAGCTTCTTCCAGTGATATATCTGGCTGAGTATTCATCTCAATACTTCCATTTAGATTGATGGCTTTTACTATGCTGTCTGAATTCTGGTACAAACTAGAAAAATCCAAATTTGTTCCACTACCATCACTTGCGTCACATGAGCTTTGCTCTGCAAGTTCAAACCTTTCTTTATCAATATCAGCTTTATTAAGAAATTGTTCTGACAATGTTGCAGGTATCAAGCTAGTCCCATCTACACTTGAATTGCTTATTGGAGACTCCTGATCCGAGGATGAATATTGCTTCTCTTCTAAACCTTTCAAGTCTTTCAGTTTTAGATTTTCATGGAAAAGAGAATTTCCTTGCATTTTCGAAAGAGTAGTGTCTAATTGCTTAAGGAACCTTCTGCGGTGCCCTGTAGGCAACACTCCCATTTGCTGAAGCACACTGTTATTTATTCCCACACAATCTGTCACCATGTTATAGCCATATTCTTTAAAGTTAGGAAGATACTGCCCCAAGTTAATGTTGACCAAGAATTCTTCAATATCAGTGCCATTGCCCGTGGATGACATGATGATAGCTTCATTCCGAATATTGCCCCACACAGTCATGTAGAAATATAGTCAGGGTGTGTGCATATTCACTAGCAACAAGGCTCTCTAAATTTGTTGTCAGACAGCCAGTGGAGAATGTCAGTTTCTTCAAGACACTTCTTCAAGTTTCTTCAGTTCAAACTGATTTTTTTTTTTAAGACTGGAAACCTATGGAAAGGAAAAAGGGCACTGAAAAAAATTCACACCTGAATTCACATTAATCTTGACAAAATTGTGAAACACTCCCTGTCATTTGTACAGTAATATTTTTAAATTGCTTATATATGAAAATTTCAAGGAGGGTAAACAGCAAAACATCTACATCCTTTTATCTTGACCTCTATGAAGAGAACAGAGAAATCAAAGTCTTAGCACAAGTAATACAGTCTTAAAACAAATAATCCTAGCAGTTAACGGTAAAATGAACAGTTAAGAGATGAACGACTTATCTACACACACACATTCTTATTATACTGTACTTGGATGTAAGGGGGAGAAAAAGTGAACCAAGACCAGAGCTGGAACCCAAAGCTTTCCCACTAACATGCTAGCACCAAATAACTACAGCATAAGGCTTCTACTCCCTTGTCTTCTGAGCCTTAAACTCTTTTTAGCACAGAAACGCACTTTTGATGGGAAAAAGGAAAAATTACTAGCTACAGCATTCTATGTGAACTGTGGGTTCAAGCCCTCTTCAACTGAGAATCCAACTGAACAAGTACCATAACCAACAAAACAGTTTACAACAGCAGAATCACTTGAGCATGGTGGTGGGAGGGAACTGCCTTCATTGTTTAAACAACTACAGTCAGAAAGCTATGGAGATGATCAAAATACACCTTGCAGAACAGGCCCTTCAAAGAACTGTCACACGGGAAATCAGTAAACGTGTAACTACTAGCTTTTCAACTCTGTCAAGGAAGCAGTTTTCCCTTGGCCACAAACAGTAGCAGAAGCGTAACCCCATAGGCAAGTAGGAACCTTTGGTATCTCAAGTGCCCACGGCAGTTTTTCCTTAGTATTTTCCAATTCAGCTCTTGCACTTTCCAGATTCCACCTGAGTCCTTCTTTCCTTCAGGGCCATATCCAAACTCACAATTCACCGAATCCAAAGCAGACAGAGAAGCTACCTTTCTGAAGGTGTTTGAGACAGCCTGAAATCACATCTCTTTAAAGAAGGTTTAAGATCAGCAGCAGTCAACAGGTTTTTCACCTCCCTCTTCCTGTATAAAGAGTAATCTGGCCTTAGGGAAACCTGCTGACTGTAGTAGCAGCTGTCCTGGCATGCAGGTACTAGCCTTAAGCAGCCTAGAAAAGAAAGAACAGCTTTGGCAGAACAGCATAAGACTTAAGCGGCAATTAAAAGAAAAGAAATCACACACAGAATATATCCACGGTAGTAGGTATTGATACCTTGTTCTTCAAAATATTTCCTGACAAAAAGGGCACTATGATCTAGAATTGAAGCCTACTTTTGTACTGTATTAATTCATCCAATACAGGACACAACCTCTTCCTGTAAGATTTCTCCAATATTTTTTGAATAACTAAGTTGTTATCCAGAAAAGCCGTCATAAATAAATCTTTACAGCCCTTCTCATTCCCCAAAGCCACATACAAATAAATATAAATTTAAAGTCATGTAGCAAATGGAGCACAACTGTTATCACTGCTATTGGTGTTTATTATAATTATTAAATAAGTGATTAAATAACTAATCCAATCACTAGAAGTCTTTTCTAGCAAAACTTAGTGAATACCGTCATTGCTCCTACACTTTCAAAAAGTGGTAATCAAAAATAGGGAAAAAACAAACCTCTTTACACTTACGCCATATATATATATGACATAATAAGAGGGAAAAAAAAGACTAACAAACATACACTTATGGAAGATGTAAAAATCAACACAGCACACTTACTATAACTGTTCCATTATTTTAGCTAAGTCTTTGGATTCTTGCTAATCTCTTTAACTTCATTTTTGGGGAAATATTTTTATCTTTTGTCACTGTCCATAAGTCTGAGAAGTGACTTATTATCTTGAATCTGAAATTCATACGGTTGAAATTTTTTAGAGAGGGAACTCTATAGACCAATCAGATATCAACCTCTCAAGAGAGAAGTTTGTCAGCCAGTTAACCCTCATTAAAAGATTCCCAAATCATTTGAATTCAAAAAGCCTTCGATTGAGCTAAACTGATCAACAATCAGCTTTTAGATCTAGCTTTGTCCTTTCCCAACCCGAGTACTTATCTAAACACTCGCTGTTCCTTTAAAACTTTCAGACATCAGCATTTTCTCAAGCTTTTCACGTAAGCCTCTAGCCATAAAAGATAAAATTCAACAGTATGACCTCCACCCATCTCTAAACCTTCAAAAATACAAATATAAATAGTTTCCTAAGAAGTGGAATATACATTCTGAGTACAGAACGACAAATAATTAATACAGAAATTACTAAAGTGGGCAAAAAGCATCAGGTAGGCACTGTTTGTGCCAGAGAAGAGTCTTTCATGTACTCATTAATGGAGAAAAACAAAACAAAACAAAACCAAAAAAAAAAAACCTCACACATGTTCAAGAATATAAAACCCATGCAAGGTTAGCATATCAGTCTAAGTGTTTTAAAGCTGGAGTTGCAAAGGGTTAACTCAGACATTTTCACCTTCCTAGGAAGTTCTGGGCTTCATTGTGGTGTTTGGGTATTTTTTCCCTGAGGTGTTAGCATTTATTTCAAACAGTATCATTCTCTCAACCCCTCCA